AAATAACAGATTTACTGGCCGGATCAGCAGGTGAAAAGAAAATAGGAAAAGAAAACGAATGCAGTCACCAGATTTAGGGCTCGTGCACAGAGCATGCGTATCTTCACACAGCACAACATACATCTGTATTTACAGTGACTGGGAGCCCCAGCTGCTGAATGAATGTACATTTATGGATGTAAGGGGCTAAATTTGAAACTTCTGCATTCGGGTACATATGCCCGTGTACATTTACATGTTGGTACTGGCGAAAAATCGATAGATCTGTGCTCAAACCCTAAGGCCTTGTTCACACCAAATGCAGAGCAGATCTGCATGAGTTTCTGCACATGCAGTGCAGTGGGTTGTGCCGCGTTTTTGATACGTTCAGGGCCGTTTTTGGTTTAAATTTTTTTGTTTAAAATGGCCTTTCAGTGTGTTTGCATGCGTTTTGATGCATTTGCATGCGTTCCAGAGCAGGTAAAATAGGGCTTGCTGCAGTTTTTTTTACATGCTCTGGAACTGAACGCTGCGGTGTGAACTAGAGCCCCAAATACCATTGGAATACATTGGACGCGGTTTTGATCCGGTCTGTAACTGCTCTGCTCCTGGAACCCGCTTGGTATGAACAAGGCCTAAGGGCCCATTCACACCACATCATCTCCAGACCAGACCAGATTGTTTCCAGACCCAAAATGCATCCTAATGTATCCCTATGCTATTTCTGGCCTCTGTTCACACCAGCGCAGTCCGTTCCAGACCAGAAAAATACTGCATGTCTCATTTTGTCTGGTCTGGAATGTACTGGAACTGCGGCAGGTTACAATCAGCCAACCACATGGCAGTAACTCAATACATTTAGGCATGTGGACATAGTCAAGTTGGTCTGCTGAAGTTCAAACCGAGCATCAGAATGGGGAAGAAAGGTGATTTAAGTGGCTTTGAACGTGGCATGGTTGTTGGTGCCAGATGGGCTGGTCTGAGTATTTCAGAAACTGGGATTTTCATACACAGCCATCTTTACTGTTTACAGAGAATGGTCCGAAAAAGAAAAAACATCCAGTGAGCAGCAGCTCTCGGGGCAAGAATACCTTGTTGATGTCAGAGGAGAATGGGCAGACTGGTTAAAGCTGATAGAAAGGCAACAGTAACTGAAATAACCGTTACATGCGAGTTATGCATGATACCATCTCTGATCACACAACACACTGAACCTTGAAGCAGATGGGTTACAGCAGCAGAAGACCACACCGGGTGCCACTACTGTCAGCTAAGAACAGGAAACGGAGGCTACAATTCGCACATGAGTTGCGCTCGGTCTGAGAGCAAAATAAATTAGTGAAATATTGTGTACTCTTAGAGATGGATAATAAAACAAATACAGTAATACCTTGGTTTACAAGTAACTTTGTTTGAGAGCGTTTTGCAAGACAAGCAAACATTTCTGAAAAATGTTGCCTTGATATACAAGCAATGTCTTGCAAGAAGAGCAAAATTCTGCAGAAAAGCACCACCGAATAAGGCTGTAACAGTGCGAGCGATGAGTCTGTTTAACGACAACACAATGTCACATTGGATAGATTCCTTGTTATGGTTTCATGAAATGAGAAAGATTCCATTGAGTCAAGAGATAACAGTGATTCCGTTAGTGATAGTGAAAGTCGTCCTACACAATAATCTTCCTCTCTCTCGTCCCCCTCACACCAGCCACGAAGGTACCTGTAATTGGTTTATTTTCTTTATATTTTGTACAGGTTTATATTACAGTACTGTATTGTAATCATTTTTGTATGAATATTTTTGGGTTGTGGAACAAATCATCTTAATTTCCATTATTTCCTATTGGGAAATTCGCTTTGATATACAAGCGCTTTGGATTACAAGCATACTTCTGGAACGAATTATGCTCGTAAACCAAGGTATCACTGTATGGGTACCGGGAATCAATATCTCGGCTTTAGGTGAAAATTTAACTGTGCAAACTTTAACTGTGTAAAAAAATTATTATAAATCCCGGTGATAACTATTCCAGTTTATAACTGTGCAATACGTCAATCAAAAAAAGAAAATTTTCGATCACCAGCCGGTGTAAGTGCATTTATGTATTTTAAAGGAATAAATCTATTTTAATTACTGCACTTAGAGGATTCCGTCCCCTTCCTTCGTTTGTTTCCCTCCTGGGAGATCATAATAGGTTGCCGTCGCCAGCGAGAGGTGAGGGTGTCCGCCATAGGAGGAGAAAAACAGACCAGATCTTTGGGAAAGGAGCACGGAGCACTGGAAACCGTAGTACCTTTTGGGCTCTCTTAATTATCCGTTTTGGAGACGTTTGAACTGACCGCTTTTTGAACTGACTGCACGCTAAGATTGTTGCCGGTATTCTGGTTAATTTACCCCGTATATTATCCTTGTCTTTGAGAGGGATCAGAGTGCACGGATCAGCACTATATATGTGATAATTTTTCTATTGCTTAATGTTTACAGGTGAAACTCGGAAAATTAGAATATTGTGCAAAAGTTCATTTATTTCACTAATGCAACTTAGCCGTCTACCAGGAGATTTTGGAGCACTGCATGCTTTCTTCCACAGACGAGCTCTATGGGGATGCTGACTTCATTTTCCAGCAGGACTTGGCACCTGCCCACACTGCCAAACATTTTCTGAAATTGTGGATCTGGGTTTTCATGAGCTGTAAGCCATAATCATCACAATTATGACAAATCACGGCTTGAATTATCTTGCTTTGCATGTAATGAGTCTATCTCATATATTAGTTTCACCTTTTAAGTTGCATTAGTGAAATAAATTAACTTTTGCACCATATTCTAATTTTTCGAGTTTCACCTGTATATTATTTAGTGTTTGCACTTTATTTAAATACCTGTCACTATTAAGGAGTTTGGGACTTTATAATTGGTTTGACCTTTTTTACACACGACCGGTCCAGGATATCTGGTCATTTATATTTGGATTGCTGTCTTTGATTAGACGTTCACAGTAGTAGGAAGTTTGTTTGCTTAATTAAGTGCAGTAACACCTAATCGATACACCAGCTGGTGATCGAAAATTTTCTTTTTTTTTTGATTGACGTATTGCACAGTTATAAACCGGGATAGTTATCACCGGGATTTATAATAATTTTTTTACGCAGTTAAAGTTTGCACAGTTAAATTTTCACCTAAAGCCGAGATATTGATTTCCGGTACCCATATTTGTTTTATTATCCATCTCTAAGAGTACACAATATTTCACTAATTTATTTTGCTCTCAGACCGAGCGCAACTCACTTGCGATATATTAAGTTCACTCACACATTGTTGCGGCTGGTCGAATTAGTTAGTTAGTTTCACACCTAGCGCAGTGATTCTTGAATTATTACAATTCGCACAGGCTCACCAAAAATGTAAAATAGAAGATTGGAAAAACGTTGTCTGGTCTGATGAGTCTCCATTTCTGTTGTGACATTCGGATGGTCAGGTTAGAATTTGAGGTAAACAACATGAAAGCATGGATCCATCCCACCTTGTATCAACGGTTCAGGCTGGTGGAGCTTCACATCATGGATGTGCAGCCGACAAATCTGCAGCATCTGCGTGATTCTATCATGTCAGGGTGGACCAAACTCTCTAAAGGTGCCCATACACTGCACGATTCTTGTACGGGAATTGCGGGAAATCCCGCGATCGTACGATAATCGTGCGACCGTTCCTACTGTACGGTCGCACGACTTTTGTATTTCGAGCATGTTGGAAAACCAGCCGCGAATCGTACGATGTTCGGCTGGTTTTTAACATGATCGAGAGACAACTGCCGAACGGGCCGGTGTGCGCACACTGCCCGTTTAGCATTGCAGTCATCGGAAGGCCACCCCTCAGCGGGGAGGGCTTGTGATGATCGCAAATACGATCTGCCTGTCCAAGATGGGCAGATCATATGTTTTTTTAATTACTTAACAATTACAATATAGTGTATGGGCACCTTAAAGAATATTTTCATCACCATGTTGAATCTATGCCACAAAGAATGAAAGCAGTTCTGAGGACAAAAGGAGTCCAAACCGGTACTAGCAAGGTGTACCTAATGAAGTGGCCGGTGAGTGTATATATGTGCGAAACACATCAGGTACATACTGGTATGGGGGATCATGTGACACCTCGCCTCCCATAGAAAAGCAGCCAGTGCACCCAATCTCCTGCTTCCATGACAGCGTGCAGAGCTGTGTAACTTTTAGCTTACCACACATTACAATCTCCTTAAGGCCTTGTTCACACCAAGCGCGTTGCAGATCCGGACCAGAGCAGGTGGCGCCCGATTGCCGTGTGAATGAGGCCTTATGGTCAGCTCACATGTTACAATCTAATTGTACAATCTCCTTCATGGTCGCCCCGCATGTTACAATCTAATTGTACAATCTAATTGTACAATCTCCTTCATGGTCGCCCCGCATGTTACAATCTAATTGTACAATCTCCTTCATGGTCGCCCCGCATGTTACAATCTATCTGTACAATCTCCTTCATGGTCGCCCCGCATGTTACAATCTAAAATTGTACAATCTACTTTAGACGTACCAACAACTATACAGTACAAAGCCCTGTTGATTGTACAGATTGTTCTGCGTATGGTGACCCTCAGACTGTTATTACCCTGTAGTGCATAGAAGACCTTCCGATCATGAATACTGTATGCGGTCACGAGACGACGGGGTACCTTTAGAACCCTCCCCAACAATATACATAACCGCCATTCACAGCCAATCACACACCCCGCTCTGCACTCTCATAGTACGTCATCAGGCAGGCGCCCAATCACCGGTCTCTTTTTATCTTACCTGCTGTTATGCTGCGGCAACGAATCGCTGACTTCTATTGGTTGTTTGCAGCACAGGCCACTGATTGGGACGTAGCTTAGTAGGTGGGCGGAGCCGGTACAACACCGGGCGGATTTGGGTTCCCTTGGAAGTGTATGGTTGCCATGCCGCCGTGCACTTCCTGTAAAGACTTTTCAGCCGTTGCAGAGCTGGATGGGTCAGTCACGGGGCGGGTGACACTTACATTGTACAGGTGGGTGATGGCCGTACAATGCTGTGACATATATTGGCTGAAAGCCCGTATAATGTATAGTCCTGGCCACCATAGGGGGACTCTTGTAGCATGTGGTTGCTTCCTAGAACATAAAGAGCTGCAAGTAGTCGCTTATAAAGTATCTGACTGACGTGTGTAGGTGGGTGTCAGGGCAGACTGCGACCTCCCAGCTGTTCAGGAACTACAAATCCCATTATGAGGAACTCTGTGCCCTGTGGGAATTTTAGTGCCTTAGTACCCAGGGACAATATGGTTCAAAGTGGATGTAAACCTGTATCAGTAAGATCCTCATATAACGTTTAACATGTCCATTTATAGCAACTGATCTCCTGTGTTGTCACCTTGTCCCATACGCTGCCAAAGAAGACCATTAGGGAACCTGCCCCTGAGCAATGATGCACAGCTACTGTTGGAGAAAGTGCAGCCATGTCCATATGAAGTGGCTGAAAGAGGCCGGGGGGAAAGCAGATACAAATAGACAATAAATGGTGAAAACAGTATTTTATAATGATAAACAAGCGTGATAATGGTTTATGATACACAGTGCCTCAGCAAAGTAGATGAACTTGGGGTTCGGCTTTACATTTTCTATACCATGCATATCATGATGCACTGCTCATACAGTGAGACATATAGGGGTTGATTTACTAACCTTATAAACACACCACGAACATGTATACACCTCTGTAGTGTGTTCCCTCCCAGCATGATCTATGGGTGGAATCTAAACACCTTTGTAGTGTGTACACACCCAGCAGGTGTGTTGTGCAAAGCCCTGCATGAATTGCAAGGTGATGTTGTGTAAATTAGCTCTACATTGTGTTGCTTGCGTTGATGAATGCAGGAATGTAAATGCATGAGCTAACCATTTTTGTCTAAACTGTGAAGCAGCATTATATATGCATCATGTGCATGATTTTTCCATATATGGCATTAGTGGAAATATGCTTTTAGAGACTTTTTGGTTGATAAATACGTTTTGCTGTGTAAAAATTACACGCACCTAGTGCGTGCGTGTGTTTAGGTTAGTAAATCACCCCCATAATGTCATAGATTGCAGTTGTAGCTGTTGTCTTTTGTAATGTCCGTTGACACAACTTTCCACGATTAGGACTTGCTCATCATTCAGAACAAAGATGGCAGATGGGGATCCTAGTACGAAGGAGCTAAGCTTGATGGATAGGCAAATCACAAGGTAAGCCAAATGACTGGCCAGTGGGTTATAAAAAAAAAAAAAAACTTTCTAAAGCAGTGATTTTTGCCAGTGATCTGTCTTTCTTTCTGTGTAACCTCAGGACCCACATTTATCCTCGGTCATGAAGTTGCAACCCAAGTCGCGCTGCTATGGAGCTCACAGCATTGCGGTACCGCGTGTTCCAGTGCAGGCGGTCAAACTGAGGGTGGGAGGTGCGTTTGGGGCGCCATTCAAATTAATGGCAACGCAACACACCTCCCACAACAGAAAACGCACAGTAGGTGCGATTGCGTGGTACAGTGTGTTAATCGCATGTGACTGTGCGATTAACGCACTGTACTAGTGTGAACGGGCCCTCAGAAACACATCACAGACACATTCTCACACACGTATGCCCTCCAAAAAAATTTTTGTTTTTGTTTTTAAAGGTCCACCCAGTCTCTCTACCTTACGAGACAATCAGCGCCGGGCAGCATATTCTGAATGGCTGCTCGGTGCGAGAACTGACAGTGCTGCGCTAAGCGTAGGCTCAGGAGCCTCTCACTGCCTCATGGCAAAGCTTATCAATGTTTTTCTGGGAGATTCACTTTATATTTATCAATAGGTTAAAGAACTGTTTACATTATATCTCGATTCGACAACCATAGTAGTATTATCTGTCCCACGGTTTATGTAAACATACAGTATAAGCCATGGTGTACCAGTGCAATCTGTAAATTCAGCTATAACCTGCTAATCCCCGTGTGTATAGAAGTATAATCGGGGCTTGATAAATCCGCTCGTCCTCTCGTCTGTGACAGCTTGACATCTTTGGTATCTATTTACCCGACGTGACCTTGTGTTTTATATTTTACCAAAAATATGGGTAAGAATAAATGTTATTTACATAACGTAGGGAAAACATTTTTTTTTTCTACATTTACGGTACTTTTTTCATTATATAGTAACCCCTGCCCCCCCCCCCCCCCCGGGGATTTAAACACCACCAAA